GCAAAAATTGGTGCTCGAAAAGCTATGTTCTACTTTTTATTTTCATGCCACTCTTTTTCATCATGCTAAATTACTCCCAGAGGTGCATGATCTGGAATATTAATACGTGTTAAATCTTCAATGTTTCTTTAATTGGTTGTTTTTGAAAATTAGAGTGCATGGATGCTTCAATTTTGGTTCCTTATATTCAAACTATTTATTTTTCTGAATAGTTCTCTTTCAAGAGCTTGCTATTCTTGGATATGAATTGGGTTATTAAATGAAAAACCCAAACTCATTGGTAATGTGGGAAGCTCAATTTGTCTTCTTTTGCATATATTTTAGCAAATCTAGTTGTTGAGTGAAAGTCAAAGTACCAAGTATGCTAATAATGCCAGCATAACTAATGTCATCAACTAAATTACATATTTTAGTGAGAACATACAAATAAATTAAATAATATACAATGAAATAACTTACAAATAAATTAAACTTGGAAGGAACTTTGATACTAAGTATTGGTAATTAAAAAAAAAAAACTCCCAAGTATTGGTTGAAATTGGGGTATTTTAATAAGCATATATGTAAATTTATCATTTTAAAAAACTGTCAGAACCGCTGGAAAATAAATTCTCAAGCACAAGTTGGGTGTTTTAAAAACCGCTACTAAAAATCTCTCAAAACCGCTAGGTGATTTACCCTCAAAACCGCTGCAATTATTTATCCTCATAATTGCTATCATAAAACTCCCAAGCAGACTCTAAGGGAGGGGTGGCGGCGATTGATGGGCAATTACAGTTGGCGATGTTGGGGTTTTGATGGGAGGAAGCCGGTGATGCTATTGGTGGTGTTGGGATTGGTTTCCAACGCCGAGGCCTACCGGAATTTGGATGAAACATCGACTAAAACTAAGAGTGGTAGTCAGCGACTGGGGGGTTAAATCAGGTGTGGAGGTTAGGGGTTTTGATATGGGGGTTGAAGGGATTGTAATGGTGGTGTCAGTAGAGGTCGACTGCGTCGGTAAAAGGCCAAAATGACCTAAAATGGCCAACGGGGTGAATTTAAGAAGTTAAGGATTATTTTAAAATTTTCTGATGGGGTAAATTTGAGAAGTGAAAGGTTATTTTAAAATTTTCATCTTTGAAATAATCATTTTACCTTTTTAATTGTTAAATTAACCAGTTTTCTGTTAATTTAAGGGTGTAAATTTGTAATTTATGAAATAGGGTGGGAAACTTGGAGATTCGCCAAACCTCCGGTAGGGAAATGTCGCGTACTCTGAATTAAAAAAAGATCATGTTGCTCACATGTGACTTGGGATACTGTTCACGGGTCAGTTAAATTAATCAATCAAATCTTAAAAGAGGTTGACTGTTAAAAGCAATTGCCAGTTGGGGTTTTTTTAAATTAAATTTGACATAGAAAATAAAAAAAAAAAAATTGTGGCTGCTGGGATTCGAGCCCAGGTCTCCACGGCCACAACGTGGAATTCTTACCACTAAACTACAGCCACATCTTGTTTGAGTAATTCAAATTTTATTAATACTATAATATAATAATGTTTCATTTCCCCTAAAAAAAAAAAAAAAAAAAAAAAAAAAAATAGAAAAG